CACCCAAAAATGGCACCTAAAAATGACACCCAAAAAACTACACCAAAAAAATTATACCCAAAAAAACGACACACAAAAATGACACCCCAAAAATGGTGCCTAAAAATGACACCAAAAAAACCTACACCTAAAAAATGACACCCAAAAAACTACACCCAAAAATGGCTCCTAAAAATTACACCCAAGAAACTACACACAAAAAAGGACACCCCCAAAAATGACACCTAAAAATGACACCCAGAATACTACACCCCAAAAAACTGCACCTAAAATAGACACCCAAAAAATGACATCCCCAAAAACGGCACCTAAAAATGACACCCAAAAAACCTACAGCTAAAAAATGACACCCCCCAAAAATGGCACCTAAAAATGACACCCAAAAAATAACACTAAAAAAATGACACCTAAAAATGACACCGAAAAATGACACCCAAAAAATGATACCCAAAAAAACTACACCCAAAAATGGCTCCTGAAAAATGGCACCTACAAAAACTACAACTAAAAAATGACACCCAAAGAAACTACACCTAAAAAATGACACCCAAAAAATGACACCCCCAAAAATGGCACCTAAAAATGACACCCACAAGAACTACAGCCAAAAAATGTCACCCCAAAAATGGCACCTAAAACCTTTATATTATAATGAGGCATAAAATCTGACCAGCTTCAATCCCGCCCCCGTTAACATTTCCCTACATTTTAAGGCTGTTCCAGGGAGCTGCCGGGACCGGGCAGACCCTGGGGTGGGGACAGCCCCAAGGAGCAGGACAGCGCTGGCGGTGCCACCGCTCACACATGGTCACACAGCAGGGCCCGGGGACGGTGCCACCACCCTCCTCCTCCTCCTCCTGCTGCCATCTGCCACCGCCGGGGACACGGTGGGGAGGGGGAAAGGGGACATCAGGAGGTGTTGGGGCTGTGCCCACGTCTGTGGCACTGTGGGTTGTCCCCTCTGGCACAGGGACAGGGGCACAGCGGTTTTGGGGGCCAAGAGGGCATCAGGAGCACTGGGGCTGTGACATTGTGGATTACTGTCCCCTCTGGCACGGGGACAGGGGCACAGGGGGAATCTGGAGGCCAAGGGGACATCAGGAGGTGTTGGGGCTGTGCCCACGCCTGTGGCACTGTGGGTTGTCCCCTCTGGCACGGGGACAGGGGCACAGGGAGGGTGGAGAATGGGGACATCCGGAGTGTTAGGGCTGTGGCACTGTGGACTGTCCCCTCTGGCATGGGGACAGGGGCACAGCAGTTTTGGAGGCCCAGGGGACATCAGGCAGTGTCCACACCTGGGGGTTACTGTCCCCTCAGCACAGGGACAGAGATTTTGGAGGACAAGAGGACATCAGGAGCATTAGGGCTGTGACATTGAGGGCTGTCCCCTCTGGTGTGGGGACAGGGGCACAGGGGGGTTCTGGAGGCCAAGGGGGCATCAGGTGGTGTTTGGGCTCTGCCCACACCTGGGGGTTGCTGTCCTCTTCAGCACAGGGACAGAGATTTTGGAGGCCAAGGGGACATCAGGAGCACTGGGCTGTGACATCGTGGATTGCTGTCCCCTCTGGCACGGGGACTTTGGAGGCCAAGGGACGCTGGTGGGGTGAGCGGGGCAGGTCTCCGTTGCAGAGGGGACCCTGAGCCATCCGAAGCCGCGGTGACACTGGGACAGAGCGGGGCTGTGGCAGCTGGGGACACGGGGACACGGAGCCAGCCCGTGGCTCTCCCGACCTGCCGCACCGGGGTGCGGCCGTGCAGGATCCCGTGGGAATTCACCCGTGGGAATTCACCCGTGGGAATTCACCCGGGGATCGTTGCCCAACTCCCTGGAACGATGGAAACCGGGAAGGCAGGGACGGGGGCTGGGGGCAGGAGCTGGAGCTGGTCCCGTCTCCAATTCCAGAGGGGGGCCCCAAAAAGCTGCGCAGCACCATCCGCAGGAGCACCGAGACCGGCATCGCCGTGGAGATGAGGACCAGGGTGACCCGGCAGGGCAGCCGGGAGTCCACGGACGGCAGCACCAACAGCAACAGCTCCGACGGCACGTAAGGAACGGGGCGGGGACGGGAACGGCGCCGGGATCCCTCCCGGCGCGATGGGCACAGGGATGCTCCATGAAAATCCTTTGCAGGTTCATCTTCCCCACCACGCGGCTGGGAGCAGAGAGCCAGTTCAGCGATTTCCTCGACGGGCTGGGGCCGGGGCAGCTGGTGGGGCGGCAGACCCTGGCAACCCCCCCGATGGGTGAGCGGGGCAGCGCCCGGGGGGCTCCGGAGGGAGGGGAGGGGGGAAGAAGCCGCGACTTTCTTCCCGGGGCTCCATCCCGGCACATCCCGCTCCGGGAATGCGCTGCCACGAGCGGGAGCAGGGCTCAGGGCAGGGCATCCCCGAGTAGCCGCAGCTCTGCCTCTTCTTTTCCCGGGGATTCCTTTTCCCGGGGCTTCCTTTTCGAGCATCCTGGAATCACAGCCCCACCTCCTGTCCCTGTTTTCCCATTGAAATCCCAAACGGGGATCAAAAGTCGCGCCCTAAATCAGAATTCCCAGCCAGCAGCAGCGTGGACACAGCCCAAGGTGGTCTCCTGATCCTGCTGGGAATGGGAAGAGCTGCCCGGGGTCCCCTGTCCTGTCCCCTCTGTCCCTGTGGTACCGGGAGCTGGGCCTGAGTAAATCCCAGCAGGAGGGAAAGGGACGTTCAGGGAAGGGGGAAGGGGAAAGGGGAAAGAGGAAGGGAAAGAAGAAAAGGGGAAAGGGGAAGGAAAAGGGGAAGGGAAAAGGGAAAGGAGAAAAGGGGAAGGGGAAAGAGGAAGGGAAAAAATAAAAGGGGAAAGGGGAAGGGGAAAGGGAAAAGGGAAAGAGGAAAGGGGAAGGGAAAAGGGGAAGGGGAAAGGGAAAGAGGAAGGGAAAAAATAAAAGGAGAAAGGGAAAGAGAAAGGGGAAAGGGAAAAGGGGAAAGGGAAAGGAGAAAGGGAAAGGAGAAAAGGGAAAAGGAAAAGGAGAAAAGGGACAAGGGAAAAGGGAAAAAGGAAAGTGGAAAGGGAAAAGGGGAAATGGAAAGGAGAAAAGGGACAAGGGAAAAGGGAAAAAGGAAAGGGGAAAGGGAAAAGGGGAAATGGAAAGGAGAAAAGGGACAAGGGAAAAGGGAAAAAGGAAAGGGGAAAGGGGAAGGGAAAGGTGTGGTTGGACCCCTCAGAGTTCCTGGCCCCTGATCTCTCCTTCCTCCCACCACGAGGGATAAAATCCCAGTGACTGGGATGGAGCTGGCAGGGAGGGCGGCTCCCACCCCGACCTCTCCTTGCTGCTCAATCCAAGCCCCTTCCCATCCCTGAGCTCCTCATTCCCAACAAATCTGGCATCCCGTGGCACGCTGGCTCTGAGGATGGGGCCACGGGGCTGTGGCTGTCCCCAGGGCGAGGTGACCATCAGGCGTGTCCCCCCCTCGCAGGCGATGTCCACGTCGGCATGGCTGACCGCAACGGGCAGCTGGAGGTGGACGTGATCCAGGCCAGGGGACTCATCCCCAAGATGGGCTCCAAGTGCATCCCTGGTAGGTGGCTGTGGACGGAGGGCTTGGGCGCCGTGCTGGGACCACCCCAGGGTCCCGTCCCATGGCCCTGCTTGTCCCCGTTTCCCACGGCAGCCACCTACGTGAAGGTTTACCTGCTGGAGAACGGCGTCTGCCTGGCCAAGAAGAAGACCAAGGTGGTGAAGAAAACCTGCGATCCCTCGTACCAGCAGCCCCTGCTCTTCGAGGAGAGTCCCCAGGGCAAAGTCCTGCAGGTGGGCAGGGACACCTTCCCCTGTCCCAGGTGGCTCCAAGCCCCATCCAGCCTTTCCTTGGACACTGCCAGGGTTGGGACAGCCACGGCTTCTGTGGGCTGGGATGTCCTCCTTGGGGTCTGGGTGTCCTCCTTGGGGTCTGGAATGCCCTGCCTGGGGTTGGGATGTCTGCTCGAGGTCTGGGATGCCTTCTTAGGATTGGGCTGCTCTCCTTGAGGTCTGGGATGCTCTCCTCGAGGTCTGGGATGTTCTCCTCAAGGTGTGGGATGCCTTGCTTAGGGTTGGGATGCTCTCTTTGAGGTTGGGATATTCTCCTCAAGGCGTGGGATGTTCTTCCTGAGGTCTGGGATGTTTTTATTGAGGTCTGGAACGCCCTGATGGGAGTTGGGATGCTCTCCTTGGGGTTGGGATGGTTTCCTCAGGTTTGGGATGCTCTCCTTGGGGTTGGGATGATTTCCTCAGGTTTGGGATGCTCTCCTCGGGGTTGGGATGGTTTCCTCAAATTTGGGATGGTTTCCTCAGGTTTGGGATGCTCTCCTCAGGGTTG